GTTTTGTGTTTGAGCTCGAAACTGTCATCCTTAGCACTCTTTAGTGAAGAAGATCACATCACCGGCAAGTCTACCTTAGGGTAAGACCACATAGGGACAGCATTAAACCAGACCCCCTGAGGTCAGGAACTTTCAGGCAAAACGCTCAGCCACATACTCCCAAGTAAACAAAGCCTTTGTTCCTCTCTGAGAACCTTCAAAGATAAACATCTGTTTTGGGTAAGTACAAAATGCAAGTGCAATCTTGCCATCAGCATGTCTTTGATCACCATTGCCTTATGCACATCCCCCTTACGCTAACAATGAGAACACTCGGCTCTTGGGGGCGCGAAACCAAATGCTGTTCACAACATGTTGCCATCGACAGAAATGTGTTGATGTTCATTCATGCAGTTGTAACATAACGGCTTTAAACTAGCCATTGTTTGGCTTCCATGCATACATAGGGCTGCCTTGTTATGCTATATCATTATTTCGTTTGACATCTCAGTCTGTCTCTTTAGTTTACAAAGAGATAAAGCATGGAATTGTTTCTTGGCAAGTGTCTCCGCTGTCTTGCGTCGTCTTTGTTGTGGCTATGCTGAGAGTCGACATGTAAACAGCCGAATTGTAGCTGACAGTTGCAGCCAGCTGCTAAGACGTTCTTAATCTTCTCTCGGTCTCGGTTTCAATCGCTCTCTCTCTTTTTCCAAGTAAACGAGACAGAAGCCCAAGCAGTCTTTCAGGTATTCAAAAGCAGTTGCTTTAGATAAAACAGAGCAGCTAGTACCTGTACTCTGTAATTCATTAGCATTAGCATCACGCCAAGTAGGGCATAGGTGTTCAAATAGCATAACTGGTGGGTTTTTGAAAAGCAAAAATTCATTCATTTTGGCCATAGACCTTAAGCAGAGTAGCAAATTTGGACAGGAATGGAAACAAGGCTGTGAGGGATAGAAGTAAATGCTTTGTACAAACTGATTCTACTGTTGTTTAACAACATAGCAAATGTTCAGTTGACAAAAAATATATATTAAAAAAAATTCAGTAGTCAAAAACTCCATAAAACAATTTTGCCATTGTAAAGACTAGGGTAACTCCATCCCTCACAACCTCGTTTTCACCTGTGGTAAATTCAATATGGTGTCTAACCTGACTAAGGTCTATAGTGAAAATTTAGTTACATACAGGTGCATCTCAATAAATTAGAATGTCGTGGAAAAGTTCATTTATTTCAGTAATTCAACACATTGTGAAACTCATGCGACATTCTAATTTATTGAGATGCACCTGTATACTCTCACCTAATCCTTGATGAAATACAAGATTGTTAATTAAGGAATAATGTACTGTCAGATGGTCATTATCGCAAATTATAAATAAATAATTATTTCACCTGTTATGTGGCTACCCACAAAATAAGTAAATACACTGACCTGAAATGTTATGAGTTATTTTATAATAATATCTTAAAGCTTGCATCTGGAAAAAACAAGATGACCACTGCAAGAATATTGCAGTAATATTAATACTGAAGTCCTCTGAGGTCATTTTCACTGTGGTTGTTAAAGGATTAGTCATTTCAGCATTTAGCAATATCTTCTTGTGTGTTTGATGAAAGAAAGCAAGTCTTTTGGGTTTGGAATGACACAAGGGTGAGTAAATGATGACAGAATTTTCCTTTAATGAAAGAGCCCGTTGTTCTCAGGCAGTAAACTCATTTAGATATACTTAAGCCATTTGTGGGAGACCACAGGAAAGAACATCTAAGCAAACACAACCCTTTTAAAGTCATTTTATTCAGGATCCATTACATATTGTTGGATTCACCAAGGGTACAAGCCAAAGGACTGAGAATGTTAAAGTTACTATGGGAATATTTTTGTCCTTACCCTTTGACACCATTTACCATTATTTATTATTATTATTTTTGTGAGCACTGGCCCTCGAGAAACAGTGCAGTAATATCATATCAACATACACACACTCAAACGCACCGACTCACACAAAAGCATTCTGACGTAGGTTTAAGAGCGCTCTAGTAGCAAATAAGACACATTCAAACTCACATTTTACCAAGACTAAAACAAGATCGTGAAGGGTGTTATTCCACTGCATCGATTTCACTAGACTAGATTTCAGTTTGCATGCAGTGAAACATACATAAGACAAGTGACACATGGCAATAAATTAGCATATAATTTACAAATGAAAAAAAAAAAAAATTAGTAACAGTGTACCAACATTAATAATACTGAATATAAAATGTAAGTAACTATTCACAAAAAATGCAAAACTCTCTTCTATAGGTACAGGTTAAACAATGTGACATTCAAAGACACAAGTTCACAGCGATCAGTACCATTTTCATTGAGTGTCTTATTGAGAGTCCGTGTCCCAAAGCCAGTAAACTTGTACTTCAAGCCTTAGGATTTTACAGGATGCTCAGCATGTTGGGCCTACAGTTCCGCTGTTCAATGTTCACTGTTGAATAATCCCAGTATAAACATTTTATAATACATAATCGATTGATATTGTGTTTGTGGCTACAAAAGAGTAGCAGCAGCAAAAGTAGAATGGTTGTATGATTAAAAAAACATAGAAATGTTCCATAACTCCTCAATTTCAATAATCTATTGTGTCCCGTAACAAAGGTGAGATCTAAAATTGATGCTCTATCATTTGATGTTCCCTTGGCTAAGAGAGAGCAGGGTTAAGTCACTCAGTCATGGATGAGGGAAAAATGCAACATGGAGTTGATGGAAAGTTTACAAACATAAACCAATGTGAAGTAAAAGGACAGAAAGAAAGACAGACAAAAGCTTTGTTCCAAAACCTAGCAAGCTGCTTTTCTTTGTGTGGGTTCGTCAGCTGCTTTCCATGTCAAGAAACATGACTTAGGCAAGTATGCTAACATGCTGTCCTGTTGAACATACTTAGCATGTGTCAACGTTAAGAATGCGACGTGGTCCAACATGTTTTGTAATGCAACGTAAAATCAAGCTTAGCTAGAATTTGCCATCGACAAAGTGTGGTTGTGTAGAGTATATTTCAGGCATAAAGCAGCATCGTAACGGGAATAGGACCTGTCGACTGACTGATTTGAAACACTGTGTAGGCAACAACCCCACATGCCACACAAATAGCATTCGTAAAGTGCACAGTAAACATGACGCACAATTGATTCCAGTAGCTAAGCTAACGACACAATGGTCCAACAAGCATAAAAATGCATAGCACATATTTTTCACTTTGTCTGACACTGAGCAATGCATTCTGGGATTGCCTTTACAAAAGAAATGTGATTCCGCCTTTACATTTGTTAAAAAAACAAGGTCTCATAAAAAGGAACAGCCTACTTTTTGGAACGACCGTTGCACCAGAAAGACCTATGATGCCTTAAAAAGATGTTCTATGCAGGGAGCTCACTAGGATTTGGAACAGAGCTAAAGTATTCTTGGTTTTCTGTCAGATCGCATACCCAGAATGCATCAAGGTCTTATAGCACCATGGGGCCAGAAGAGCCACCCACTCAAAAGATGAGCGGAAGAAGGGCAGTGGAACAAACAGTCCTCCACTGAGGAAAGAAAAGCACCATTGAGTGTGGAGGGTTTAAGAGTGTGGGTTGGAAGCACTGTGATCTCAGGGAAGGAGGAAGAGGGGGTGTTTTGGAGGTAGTCGATGGCAGACCGGATCTGTGGGGTCTGGCAGGTTACCCAGGCACTGGCCCTTCACTTAACTTTACTAATGCATCAGCATCACAGACCTGGAGATCTCCAAGCAAGTCATCCCTGTGCTGATGGATTGTCTGTGTATTCTGCTGATAATGTGGCGGAGTGTGGCTGCAGCACACATTTTATGTGAAAATTATTGCGTCTGGAACATGCCGGTCCCCGGAACAGACACATAGATGTCAGAACCCAAGAATTTAAAGCAGAATATGGATCGATAAAGCAGAATCACGTCAGAATCGCAATTAATGTCTCTCTGGTGTCCACAATAATTCTAGAGACACAATAGTAGAAACGTCCCTTTGGAACTGATCTGATTTTCAGGCCTTGTTCAAGTGTCAGACAATGGTGGAATTCTTTGGCCTGTGGCCATGTGATTCAGCTCAGTAAAACAGGTGGCTAACTCAACTGAACATCTGGACTCTGAAGCTCTAATTGAGATTTCTTCTGCACAAATTCAGCACCAAAGCACCCAATCACACTACCCTGTTTGTCTTTGGCCCTTGGGTCTCTATCTTACGTTCAAAAGTTATTGTCAAAACAACTTTAGTTTATAAGTTTAGAAGTTCCTCAACTGGTAGAGCCTGGCTCAAGCCATACCAAGGTCAAGGGTTGTAACCTATGAATGCAATGGAAGTTGCTCTGGAAAAAAGCATTTGCCAAGTGAATAAATGTACACAGAAGTTCCAAGTTACGGATTTCAATTAAACCACATGTATATCTAGTACGATCTCCATCTAGCCGCAAAGAGAAACAGGTCAACCTGAACAACATTGCCTAACCATCTAGGGGTGTCCAATCCTGCTCCGGGAGGGCCACTGTCCTACACTGGCTGTGTTCCACTTCGTCTTTTATGCCCTTCCCTGGCTAACCTCCATCAGTCTCATTGATTCGGATGTACATCATTGATCATGTTGCACGAGTGCCCACTACTGGCAGAATCATCGCAATGGGCTAAAATGGAACGTGCTAAACCCTTGATCAATTGGAATCTGCTATGGAGTTGATTTATTTACATTTTCCCCCCTTACAAATTAGTTTTATGCAGCATATGTGTACACGTATGCTTGGACTGTTTTTAATATTTGAAAAATAATTATTATATCAGAGTTGTGGGGGTAAATTAAACACGATCTGAGGTGACGTCACAATCCTGTTGCATTCTGGTACATGGAGCTGCCTGAAGTGTACACTAAGCACCCTTAGTAAAAATCGAGGGGTTGAGGCTCTCTATAAACCTCCCTTGTTGACTTAACAAAGTAGAACGCACTTTAAAATGGCAGAGGGGATTCGCCTGAGGGGAAGTGCTTAGAGAAGTTTGCAAGTGTTCGACTAAAAGCGAAGTGGAATGCAGCCAGGTTTCAGCTCCTATGCCAATTAAACACACCTAATTAGGATCTTCAGGATGACTAGAAACTTCCAGACATGTGTGTTGGGGCAGGTAGGCGCTAAACTCTGTAGGATATTGACCCTTACAGGAGTAGGATTGGCCACTCCTGGTCTGTACTTTTAATCAAAAACCAAGTCAATTCAGCCTATACCAACCCTGCTCATGGAGGGCTACCATCCCACAGAGTTTAGTTAAAATAACAGGCAGGTGTGTTGGAGCAGGTTGGAACTGAAGTCTGCAGTTCTCCAGGAGCAGGATTGGTTACCCCCGATCTATACTACTTTGATTTTAGGAGTGAAAAATATCATTTGGGTGGAAAATTTGGATTGTTATTTTTACCTTAAACCTAATGCATGTTGCAGTCACCAAGTTTCAGTACTATCCATGTTTGGAAATGTTCCTATCAGACTGCTGTATCGGATGCCGGATCACATGAATGACAGTGTCTGCACTCCGGTTGTTGGTTACGGTACTTTGTCACACCATCAACAGTCTCTGACACTCATGTTGCCTCAAATCACCAACTCTTATTCAAAACAAATGACTTCCAATCGATCCGATGCTGCCAGTGTGAGCAATCATTGTTGGTTTGAATGTTCCAGAATGTAATGTTGCCAACAGAACCATGTTAGGAGTGTGTATGCAAGACCCAGGGTTATACCAATGTCCCGAACTCCCTTATGTGGGTGCCTTGAAGTAAACCTCTGCTGTGCTACTTCTGTGAGTGTTGTGTCCAGCACTTTGGATTATAACAACAGAAAGACATTGATAATAATAATAACCAATAGCAATTATTATTATTATTATAAAAATAACAACAATAATGATCATTTTATACATTCCCACTTCACAGAAGTGAAAATAAAACAGGTGTCAGCGCAGTGCTGAGCAGTGGTTTGGGTTCCACAGGGCTAAAAGCAGTTGTGTGTGTGTTGATTAGCGAGAGAGAGGCTTCTTTCTTCTGTGCCCAGCATTGACTTTTCTCTCTGCCAGTTTTCTCTCTCTTTCCTCGTTGCAGCATCTGTCTCTGCTTCTCTCCATGGGGTCAGTGTCCTTGGCACGTCTTGCAGCACATCTGTCTGAAGTACGCACGGCTGCAGAACTTGAACTTCAGCACCAATGGGCAATATGCCACCTTATTTACGTCTTTGCACTCTAGGGGAAGAGAAAAAAGGTGGAATGAGAAAGGATACGTGAAGGAGTAAGTGGTTGATACTGGGGAACCACAAAGGGGAAACTTGAAAGCTTGTTAAAGAGATAGTTCACCCTGAAATGAAAAGTCTGCCATCACCCTCATATAACTTTTTTTGCTCTAGTGGAACAAAAGATTAATTTGCGCTGGGACTGTCAAGCTCTGAAATCAGAATAAAGGTATCATTAAGAAAAATGAGTCAGATGAGTTTAGAATGACATGAAGGCAAGTAAATCATGACAGACTTTTAATTTTGGTTGAACTATCCAATTATATGATAGGCAAGTCTGTGTGGAACAGTGACTCAGGACTTTGATCAGAACCCAGAGACTGCTGGGATCTACAACTGGGCCCAGCTCTCTCTCTTAAATCTCTCATGAACTCTTCATTGGAATAAACACCAGCTACTTTGAAACCGAACAAGCTTAAAGTAATTAAACTAGTCTTTTGAAACTAGTCTTTTGAGTTTCTATATTGACTACACTGAAGAAAGTTTTACTCATATCCCTCATCGTTGTTAATGAAAAGCATGTTTGGAGGACCGTCTTTTGGGTTCTTAGAATGCGAGTCATATTTCAGATGTCTGTGTGAATCTAGGTGGTAATCAGTAGCCGCTTTTCCACTGTTGGGCCAGTGCGAGCCAGTGCTTTAAATGGGCCGGGTGGGGCTAATAGCCTCAGACCTGTAGCACCGAGGCCAAAATCACGCTGCGTTTCCACGGTCGGGCCAGAAACTCAGTTGCGCTTCACTAAAACCCGCCCTTTACATGCCTCTCAACAACGTCACGCAACCCCATCATTTCACCAACAAAGAGAAGTTATCAGAAAACTAATAAGAAATAAGTCACTGGAACTAGCGCGATCACAAAACGAACATGATAAAAGCGGTCGCTTGTTTGCATGCTTTGTTAAAGATTTAAATCCAAAAGCATCAATGTTTTACAATAATAAGTGATGCATTGATCATAATGAATTAATTTATCAGGATTGAAAATTAGTCACACAGAAATAAAGCGGTATGAACATAGCCTACCTACTTATTCAGTCGAGTCTGTTTCTGTTTATTTGTAGTCACAGTTATATACATCACATTTAGAAAGAATGATCATTTCTATATTTTTATAAAAGCTCCCGAACAAAAACCATTATTATATTTTTAAGACATACGCGGAGCTAAACTCTCGAGACGAGACTTATGACAGATAAAATATGTTACTAAATAAATACATGATTGTGATAGAGAATAAGAAGCCGACGTCTGATTTCTTCAAGCGGTCGTATTTACCATGTTTACTATGGTAACGTTAATGGCTAGCGTGCATAGTCTTTTGCATCGCTTATAAATATTTCTGCCTTGCATGGTGATCATAATCCACATCGGATCAAGTTATTTCAAACACTCGCTGCTGTCTGAAAGTGAGATTTGAACTAAAATTATTTTAAGTCTTTAATGCTGGTGTTATAGCTGTTAACTTTATGAAATGATCCGCGGCGCTGAAGCTCTCCAGACGCGGAGAAACTCCGCCTTTGTTCATAACCACTCCTCTAGCCCCAGCTGGCCCGCTTTGGCCCACGGTTTGAGTGAATATGAAGGACAGTGGGTTAGCAAGGGCATTTCTGTGGTTAGGTGTGAAATCTGAATTGAATCTAGCAGCTTGATAGTCCCTCCACTAATTGTTCTAAAATCGCAAATGTGACACTATGCTGTTGGGGAAACCATAACAAATACGTGCCTGTATCTGTCAAACAGTCAAAAGATATTAAATGTCGTATTTACATTTACATGAAAAAGTAATTCTGTGGGATTTCTAAACAGGCACTGTATAGGGTACCAATTAAAAGTTATTTTCGTGTCCAGGGGGGATTCTGTAGGACAGGGACAGAATCTTGCATGACCCTGCAGCACTGGAAAGCTAATAGACTTCCTTTGAGTCAAAGCCAAAACTCTTGAGTTCTCCTTCAAAAGAGGCCATGACTCAGGGCCTGGACACAAGCCTCTTATGGTAATTACAGCATCTAAGCGTAAAAAGAGAGCGACCTGATTCACGGCGCGGGCAGACGGCCATCTGCATTAGTGTGGCAGTGTGCTGATGGTGCTAACTGGCTCTACCTCAATTAATATGTCTTCCTTATTAGGCTCTTTAAACTGCCATGGCTGACGACAATGAAAGTAGACATTCTGTCACTGTTGTTGATTAGGATACAACTAATCCTATTAGGGTCCATTAGGAGAGATAATCTAACGCTGCTTCCCCAGTGAAGGAATCTGAATAGGGATCCATCTCGCGAGGGTCATGGAAGTTTTATTGAATCCAGGATCGCCTAAATAGTGTCTCGATTCCAAACTGAGGTAGTTAATAACAGGCAAGAACAGAACAATATAATCCTTTGTTAATTCAAAATTGAACGCAGAGGCCACAAACTTTGTAAATGTCAACACTGTGATCAAAGCCAGATGCAGCTCAAACGAAACGCTCATAAGCCACGTGATTAGCGGAACAGTGATTGACTTACCGTCGCCACCGGAGATGGGTGTAGCGTCACATTTACTTTCACACTGCTGCATGGTGTTTGGCCGTAGTGACTCTGGACATTCGGTGTAGGGCTGTCCCATATATGACAGACACTGAACCATCCGCATCTGCTGCCCTAGTCCACATTGAGCAGAGCACTGCAAAAACACACGGCGAGCCTTTAGTACAGCCTCTAATACAGTACATACGTCATAACTGGGGATGCAGAGATATTACAACAGATACTGATATTAACATTCTACATTATTGTCTCTTTCTATTTCTATTAATAAATTAATACAATAATAAAATCAGTTGTTTGAAATGGTACAACAATTAGTGAAGAGCATATCTGAGTTGAAATATGAGACAACATGTATGAATACGCAAACCCAAAGTTAATATCTTTCGAGCCACTTTGCCATAATGAGCCAATTAAGTTAGACTTCACCTAGTGGACGTCTTGTCCACTTTGCAACCTATTCTAGCCAAGAACCATTGACTTATACAGGAAGAGGTTCAACAATTGTTACCAACAACAGTTAGTTTGATTTACAGAGTATTTAGGGGCAAGCAAATCTGAAATCAAATTAAATTCTGAAATAAAGTTGAATATTAAGGTGTGCTCAAGGATATCTCTTACTTTCTACCAAGTAGTGCAAACAAAACTCTCTCTCTCGACCTCTCAATGCCAGAACCACAGGGAAATTTAGCAACTGGTTATTTCTTATAATTATAAAAACATGTTGACTTCTATAAATGCACTCTATAGATGATTGCTTCCGCATTTAGTGGCACTCAGTGGTCACCGCAACTTCCAGTGCAGTGCAGTGTATGGAAATTGTGAGAAAAAATAAGCGCAAAATTAAATCTTGAGGAAGTTACAAGACAAAGCAATACTGATATGATCTACCTTCACACTAAAAGTATTTAAAGTTTTAAAACTCATTACTAAAATGTTGCATACACTACAGTTGCTTATACAGTATATATATATATAATATACAATATAATTAGTTGTGATCGACAGTTATTAAATATGAAATAGAAATATGACAGAAAGAGTTTGCTACTACCAGTTTTCTATGGGAGAATTCTGTATCGGAAACTCGTTTGGCGCTCAGATTGTAGTGTGCATAGAGTCCATTGTGTAGAAGCCAAACCAATCAGACTGGTATAAGTGATTTTAGTCTGCACTTGGCGTGTTTGTGTGTAGTGTGTATCAGGCGGTCTATGGCACGCTTGTGAATTCTGGCCCAAAATCAGTGCTCCAAAACTAAGGAGCGAAAGCTACTTGCGGAATGTCATTGTAATAGTTTAATTGAATCTCTGACTACTGTCAGCTGTTCTACATTAAAGGTCTCGACGTTGCTGGAGGGAGTAAATTGCGTCTGTCTGAAGTGAAACTGAGATGTATTCCAGTAGTCTCTTACCATGATGTAGCTCAGTGATTCAATGGAAAAACCAAAGAGTTGCCTTGCAACCCAATACAACACACAAATTTAGCTCATTAGTCACTCTGCTGTAGTGCCTAGTGTGAATGCCACAGAAACGCTGACGTCGCATGCCAAGACAAGGATCTGATGTGGATTTAGTCATAAACACGTGTAAGACCCACAGTGAAGGACCCCTCACGGGACTGGGAGTGCAGACATCTCAGATGAGTTTCCAGCAGCCTTCCCATTTCATCCCCTTTAAATTAAACAGACTTTATTAGAGTGCGAGCCCCTGACAGACGGCATATGTCAGTGAGGGCCTTAAGTGGGATTTGAACCAGTGACCTTTTGGCCCACGGCTCCCTTCAACAGCCTCTCCATTATGAGAGTCCCAGTTCACTGCAGGAATCATAGGATGGCGAAACTTGTACTACAGTAGTTGTAGCTTCATTCAGGTAGATGGAAAAATCTGGACTTTTGTTAGTTTAATATATTTTTCAGATCATAAAATTATTGTTGATTTTGTAACCTTCGTTATCACTTATAAGTGGTGTAGAATTTTACATGAAGCCAATATTGATGGTTTATATCACCCCTTTACCTAAATTCATTACTTCAGACTTATGTGCCCTCTAGAAGCTTGCGTTCTGCAAGTGCAACAGTTCTTTCCGGTCCTCGAATCTGATTGGCTGAGAGGAGTGTGATATTCTCGTGATAACAGTACTCCAACCGACGTTTGCTGATAGTATTTCATCTTTAAAATTTAGTTGTTGAAGATCATCACAATAACTAAAACGTGTCATAAACATTTGTTTGGGCACAGATTTATTTTCTGCAATGAATCCAAAAAGAAAACAAAAACAATACGATTTTTTTTGTTGGCTTTTGGATTCATTGCAGAAAATAAGATCTGTGCCCAAACAAATGTTATGACACGTTTTAGTTATTGTGATAATAATTGATGGGAACCAAAGAAAAATGCAGAAATCAATTCCTGAAGGATAAGATCATATTCTGCCCTACATTTTTTCCCTTATTGAATACTACCTGTCTATCTTTTGTTTGTGGCATTTAAAAAAAGATTTACTATAAGCCACCACAGTTATTATGATCGTAACATTATTTTAAAAAGAGAAACCCACAGGATCTGTCTGAGAGTGATGTGTTTTGTCTTTTTAAAAACATATTCTTGGCATTGACAGAAAACCTTGTCTACTGCAGAGATAAACTTCAAACAATCTGGATGATATTACTACCACTACACACTCTTGGGCTGTTATACTCGCTGTCACTCACAGAAACACGCGTCACTGGCTTTCCAGAGACACTAGTTTATTATGCGAGTGTAAATTCTGTTGACGTTAACTAAACACATGGTCTTTTTCACACTGTATTAAAACAGTCTTTACTCAGCCTTTGCATTTTCAGACCAGGAATTGCTGTAAAGACAAAACTGTTTCCTTCATTTTTTACATTCAAAATTATGATATTCTTGGCATTGACAGAAAACCTTGTCTACTGCAGAGATAAACTTCAAACAATCTGGATGATATTACTACCACTACACACTCTTGGGCTGTTATACTCGCTGTCACTCACAGAAACACGCGTCACTGGCTTTCCAGAGACACTAGTTTATTATGCGAGTGTAAATTCTGTTGACGTTAACTAAACACATGGTCTTTTTCACGCTGTATTAAAACAGTCTTTACTCAGCCTTTGCATTTTCAGACCAGGAATTGCTGTAAAGACAAAACTATTTCCTTAATTTTTTACATTCAAAATTATGCAAAAAACTGCTGCTGGGGTGTAAAAATCCATAAAGCGGTGCTCTTTGGATGCGGGATTCTTTTGTATCATCAAAATATTCATAAATCCAAGGTACTCGAGTAGTGTGAAAAAATTAAAAAGCCAAAATTAAAAAGGCTTTTTAATTTTTTCACACTACTCGAGTGCCTTGGATTTTTCAAACAATCTGGATGATATTACTACCACTACACACTCTTGGGCTGTTATACTCGCTGTCACTCACAGAAACACACGTCACTGGCTTTCCAGAGACACTAGTTTATTATGCGAGTGTAAATTCTGTTGACGTTAACTAAACACATGGTCTTTTTCACACTGTATTAAAACAGTCTTTACTCAGCCTTTGCATTTTCAGACCAGGAATTGCTGTAAAGACAAAACTGTTTCCTTCATTTTTTACATTCAAAATTATGCAAAAAACTGCTGCTGGGGTGTAAAAATCCATAAAGCGGTGCTCTTTGGATGCGGGATTCTTTTGTATCATCAAAATATTCATAAATCCAAGGTACTCGAGTAGTGTGAAAAAATTAAAAAGCCAAAATTAAAAAGGCTTTTTAATTTTTTCACACTACTCGAGTGCCTTGGATTTATGAGTATTTTGTTTTCTTTATTTGTTCTAAATCATAATGACACCTGAAATACGTATATTCAAGCCTAAATTTGATTGCATTTTACAGTGAATTTGAAACTGTATTCACAACCAATTTTAAATGAAGCAATATTCAATCAGAGAAAAACGTAGGATGGTACTTGATTCTAAAGAGCGCAACAGTCGGGTTCTGGAGGCTCGAACCCCCTCGCCCCTTTAATTGCTGATGCTAAAGTGCCCTTTCAGTCCGATCTCGGTGCCCCTGGACCACGATTTCAACTGAGGGAGATTGTGTATGTCCCTGAGTAAATGAATGACTCATCAATGGTTTTGGTCCAGTTTCCCAGAAAAGCAAGACTGTATATAGATAAGACTCCTTGCATACAGATGAACTCAAAGTGAACAGAAACAGACCAAAAGCAACCTGGGACCTTTTAGGCCGTCTGCAAGTTCTGGTTCTGTTAAACTGTCCTCATCAGGATGAATAAAACTGTGGATGAGTAAATTTGTATTACCTGTCCCCATTCTCCAGGGATCCAGCGTGGCGGCGGACAGCGACCAAGGCTGCAGCGAATACGGACTGGGGGTTTGTTGTGGTCAGAACAGAGGGCTGGTGGGAAGGTTTTGGTCAGGTCGCTACTTTTACATAGAACTATGCGGTGCTTGAAGCCAGGGCCACACTTTGGGGTACACTATAAACAAAAACACAACAATATTAAAACAAGAAGATTACCAGGCATTCTAGAGGAAATACAAATACATAAAAACACATCAAGTCACCTCAGACCAGTCCAGTGTCACCCACTGGGGCGGACAAGACTGATTGTTGCAGGACTCTTGTTCTATTGGCCGATGGGTCAGACAGTGGTTGTCCTCCAGGGTCTCCTCCTCGGCGGGTCTGATTTTACGGATACACAAAACAGTGCGTGTTCGGATGCCTCCATCACAGGTCTTCCCACATTCTGACCAGTCACCGATAAACCACCTGAAACACAAATAAATGGGGTCCAAAATGTACTTTTTGATGCAAATAAATAATATAAATAGGCCATAAATAATTCCTAACAACCACAGAACTGTATTCTGCATTATAAAATATTTATTTGGTGAAATATGCATAGCATATAAAAAAAGTTTGGGGTCAATAAGATTTTAGGCCTTTTTTACAAAAAAAGAAAAAAAAGAAAGAAATTTCAAGTAAATTGTTCTTTTGATATTTCTTTTCATTAAAGAATCCTAAAAAAAAAAAAACGTCATGGTTTCCACAAAAATATAAAAAAATACTATAAATCAGCATATTAGAATGATTTCTGAAGATCATGTGACACTGAAGACTGGAGTAATGATGCTGAAAATTCAGCTTTGATCGCAGGAATAAACTACATTTTAAAATATATTACAATAGAAAACAGTTATTGTAAATTGTAATACTATTTCACAATATTACAATTTTACTGTATTTTTTATCAAATAAATGAAGCATTGATGAGCCTGAGAGACAAAAACATTAAAACATCTTTCTGACTTTTTTCACAAAAAGAAAATTCTCCATCCACAAATATTTATTACCAACCACAGAACTGTATATGCATTATTTCATCAAAATATATTTGTGTTGCCCTTATTACAAATAGTAATAAATAAATAGATTCTCCTTAGCAGTGACTGTTCCACACTTCCAGCATCATATACAAACCTTGAATAAAACCATCAAGATCTTGATTTAGATTTTTATATATTATTTTCAAATAATGTCTCGCCACATAGCAGTCTGGAATTACCGGGAAAACAAACTTCTGAAATAAATGGCCTGAAACGCCATTTTATTTACTCGCCAAAACCATATTTGCACTCTCATTTAGTTTTGAACCCTGCAAATACACATTGTTAACGTTCAACGGGTTGCGAAACTCCACACAATGGCAACAACAATTCCAAATTTGCGTTCAATTTGTCTTCATTTTTGGCTAAATGAGTTCTACACTTTTCGCTGGGCTGTGGAATACAGGCATTTTTATATAAACGTCTGACTTTTTATCATTTGTTACGGCTGAATTAAGTTCCGTGCGGTTTGTTTACATTCTCTTGGCGATGCTCTGATAAAGCAACGGACGATGTGTCTTATGAAACACTACAAGTAAAATAAAATTAAAGTTGGACATAAATTATTAATGAAATAATCTCATTATCTGCAAGATCATTAAAGAAAATTACCTCCCCAAAAACAACAGGGTGTTCTCGAATGACCATCATAACCCTTTCTGGGCCAGAGACTGCATTCCTCTGACATCAGGTGGAGATGGAAATAGATTTTAGATGATGTTATTAGTGATGCCCATCTTGGGGTTCAGGTTCACTAAACCCTCCACTGGCAAGATGCAGGAGCGCAGAGGCCAAAACCATTTAATTCCTCCTTCCAATTTAAAATTTGCAGACACAAGTGAACTTTGCTCAGCTTCTCGCCCCATTGAAAATGAGCGCTAAGTGCGTCTGGCCGCCGCACACATGCATACTCCACACGTTTATGGATATTGTCCCTTGAGGGTTCATAAACTCTGCTAGCCAATACAATTAAACGCAGGTGATCACTCATACTTTTTTTGGACGCCTTTAGGATTTTGGCACCAAAGTCCAAATGAAAATAGGCAACATATGAAGAAATAAATCATGTTGCTTAGTTTTTAAGTTGTCTTCAAAGAGGTTCTTTATGGCCGGGATGCTATAAAGACAAATTAAACATTACGGGTTGTGGCACTTTGCGTTTTTTATTTCTGGGCAGCTATGTGCTATTTTGATAAGGCTCATCAAAACGGAATAAAATTTCTGTATTTCATTCATCCTAGGCTGGCAAAGAGAGCAAAACCTTGAGTATAAGCCACATGTTTAGGAAATTAGATATATTTCACCTCAGTATTCAAAGAAAATTATATATATAAAAGTTGATTTTGTATGTAATAAATAAATAAAGCTTTTTTCTACACTATGAGATTAATTTCTTGACAGTTAAACCCTATTTCTCAGTAGCATACTGTAACACAGTCTCGTGATGTGATGTAATAAATCGTTTTCATTAAAATCTAAGTCTCGTAACCACCTGAGACCATGACAAGAGACAGGAAATTTTGATGCGTCACGCTGGGTAGCCCTGCTTCTTGTGAAATATCATTTGTTCGTAATTACACTGCTCATTACTCTACATCAAATATCTTCTGATTGGTTGAAATTTTGTCATGTTGTGCAGAATTTTTCACTTTCAATGTGGACAGAATTGCAAGGATCAACGCATGCGTGTTCTACATCAGCAGCAGCACGCTCATGCGTTGTGGTACTCTCGATAATGATGGAGGACAGTGACGCAGAAGAGAATTGTTGAATAAAGTCATTATTTGTGTTTTCTTTGCACACAAGATGTATTCTTGTAGCTTCGAAAAATTACAGTTGATGTCACATGGACTATTTTAACAATGTCCTTACTATGTTTCTGCTTATGGAAACATTTCCGTTGCATTGCCGTTTATGGAGGGTCCGAAAGCTCTCAGATTTCATCAAAAATATCTTAATTTGTGTTCCGAAGATGAACAAAGGTCTTACAGATTTGGAACGACATGAGGGTGAATAATTAAATAATTAATTAATTAATGACAGAATTTTCATTTTTGGGTGAACTATCCCTTTAAAGTACAATTTTAAGAAAGTATGATGATAGTTTTCATTATACTGAATTTAATTGATACTAATATAATAATAAAAATGATCATCGTCCAGATTATTTTTCACCGAAGATTACCGAAATGAGAATGACTGAATGAGAATGAAAATCATACATTTTCAAATTACAGTCATTTAGAAGGAATGTTTAGTAGAAAATGTGAAAACTGTCATGAACAATGTCCCATTGCAAAAAATAAATTATTATTTTCTAATTTTAATCATATTTTCTCTTTGTTTTTCAGTAGTGGTAATGGTTATAAATAAGCAGTACTTTAATTGTTTAATATATAATTTTTGCCTTTTTCCTGATATGAATCAAATTTTCAGACTGAGATTCAAATTACACCTCAAATTTGCTATACTCACTCCGGAGGACACGGCTCGGTGTTGCAAGGTCGCTGGTTCCCTGGCGGTTTGCCATCTGGGTCACAGTAGCTGTTTTGGACCACAGAACCGTCGTCCAGTCTTTTACACACCACCTCCTGCTTCTGCGAGCCTGCAAAAAGACAATAAAGCATCACTTCATTCATCTGCCTCGCGCTCTCAGCTGGGAGATCGTTTTCGACACTTCAGCAGCTCGCGTACAAGGCGCTGTGTGGTCGGCGTCGATCCCTGAGGTAAAACTACTTCTCTGTCTCTTCTCTAGGGGTCCACTTGCTGGCAGAGCACTCTGTGTGGATGGTGGCACGGAGGCGATATTATTTTTCCCTCAGTATAATATCTAGGTGTGTAAATGCCTCGGTTGAAGTGAGTGTCTAAGTGAATGACTTTTACAGAGAAGCCAATCTTTTCTTTGGCCCTTGGTTGTGAAAAGTGAGCCTTACCACAGTAATGGCAGAATAGTGCGCTACGCTATATACTCAGCGCTAGGAGCCATTGGTGCAGGGGTTCTTTGGGGCCCATAAGGAAAGACATTAGCCTCCAGTTAAGCCGGTTTATGCCAAGCTTGGCTAATGCGCAAGGCCACCTTGTGAGGTGGATCTAATAGCTGCCAATACGGCATTCTTGACTGGGTAGCCGAAATAATGAAATACTCCAGTGGGAGTGCGATGACCCCTTTCGAGAAAAGAGATTTGATTCGCTGAAAGCAAACTAGAGGGTAAATGTAAAATCTCATGACATCAGTTCATGATGTAAGACCGTTATCAGTGTTGTTGCACATAACGATCAAAATAATAAGACGGCAACATTGAAATTTAATGGGAGTTCGTAGAAAAGCAGGAATCAAGTCCAAGCATCTGTAGCGGTGTGAATCAAGAATCATTTTTAAAAGCATATTGCAGAATTTTTATGGCAGTTCACTCGATGTTTAAACGCTCCCTGTGTGGCTTGCCAGCAGAACAGCCGTGAGTTGTATTAATAACACAAAATTTCACAAATGACATAAGTGTTGCTCTGGGGTATTTCCACATAAACTAAAATGTGTTCAAATGAATTGAGGCAACAAATGAGGTCGAGTTCACTGAGCCCGGAGAAAACCCTCCGTGGACTAGCCTGCGATGTTTGCATATTTTGGTGAAATATAACAAGTATTTTGAATGTTTTCAATGGCCACACTTTAAAAAAGCAGAGAGGAAAACTATTTATTGTTGTAAGAAAGCCATTTATTTTGGGGCAGCCTGAACAGTCTGGTCATATTTGAGGTGAGGGCTCACATTTACATGTGGTTACGACATTCAGATGTTGAAATAAGAGGCAGCCTTTCTGTTCACTGCATAACTTGTACATTAGCAGTACAAATTGATGGACCATATAGTCGTATGTCAGATAAAATACACATTTTATCATTCTATTGGATTTTATTACTAATAAAAAAAGATGACTCGGCTAAAAACACCAGAATTAATTTCCAGTCCAATACGGTTCACAAAAAAAGACATAGCAAAGCAAAAGGAGCTTTCTTGATTCAAAAAGAACATAAAAGTACAGCACCATGAAAGTATTAATGTAGCCCAAACCAAAATTTCAGTTGTTATTCACTGATAATTATGAAGCAGATCAGTTCAATTCATAATGAATAATCAATTATAATCAATTCAAAATGGTTTTGTGAACTGGATGAACTGATTCATTTAAAAGATCAATTATTCAAGAATCAGACTTTGCTGCTTCTCTCATCAACTCTCCTTTTTCAAGCTCAAAAGCTCAGTTCTTGTTCACTGTAACTGAACAGAAAAGAACGACCAGTAAATTATTCAAAATGTACACTTTTGTGTTGGACTCACTGTTGACAGAATTTTCATTTTTGGTGAACTATCCCTTTTAGCTAGTTATGAAGCCTGGCAGGGACACTGTCAAGAACATACTTTTGTCTGTCCACTTATTTTTCACATTTTCATCTATTTTTATGTAAATGTTGGTATATCACATAAAAACACTTCATGGAACCCCAGGATGCACATACATTTAAAACATGTGCATAAAAGACTTGCGCTCGATTGAGTCTGATCATTGTTTATCATGCGAGTAAACTACAATGGGAACACATTTATTGAATAAAATCATTGATGCGCATCAAAAAAAGTCATGTGACTTTGCCTCAACAGATGATGTGATTGGTTATAACTGGATAACTAATCAAACATCATCTCAAATGTTACGTCATTAACCATTTTTAAATGCCTGAGCCAAAATCCATCATCAAAATTATTTAGTATAATCACCTCCTATAAGACTGCATTCCCAAACATCAGGCATCCTGATTTATTATGTAGGCCTAGTGAAAAAGAGCCACAGGATGCAACAACTTTCAGTTTTATTATCAATACTTTGCGCCTGTTTCCAAGGAAGTGACAATTTTGTTCTCTTGAACACATGGGATGGAAACTTTGCACATAAGTTAATTTCCCAACTTTGGATGGAAACATGGCTAATGATCAACAGTGTTGGGCAAGTTACTTCCAAAATGTAATACATTATCAATAGGTACAACAAATTTTCTTAGTAAGGATGTGAATGATTGATTGTCTTACCTCCTGCGCATGTTGCTGAGCACTCAGACCAGGGCAGATGGTGCCAGGAGAAGCCCACTTCATTGTCCCCACTTCCTGTACGCTGGATCGGCACATTGAACTTGTAGTGGATGCCCAAGTTCTGTTCCTGTAGTAGCACCTGAAAAGATAAAAAATTGATTGTGGTTACTTTTCTGTTGCTAGTATACTGTCTTAATGAAGAATTCATGGTCTACCTGGTTAACTTTTTTTCTAAATTGTGGCAATTAGCAGACTGACGGACACAAAATCTCAGTATATTACTAGTAGATGGAATTTTAGAGTTGTTCATAGCGGGGCGGTGCACATTCTTTGGTGGCATCAGCCAATCAGTGTTGTCGTGATGTCATTTCCCTGCCTGACTGGCTCAAAGAAGAAAAATGTAATGTGTCCATGAGCAAAGATGGATGCGGGTTGTGTACGTCCGAGGCTGGATGCGCCAACCAAGCAACTGTCATTGAGATGAATGGGAATTTCTCCAGGTATTATAGACCTCCATGGTCTTTTGCCCCAAGGATTTTGGCAAAGGAAGTTGGTCTTGGATGGGTGACAGAAAGACAAATACTGAGGTCTTAAAAATGCATGAAACAGAGCAATCAAATCATTAAGAAGGCAGGGCTGTACGTTAACTTTTTTTTCACATAGCACTGGTGCTACAGAGGTTGAAAGTTTTGTAGCACAGGCCAAAATGTTGTAGCACAAGTATAAAACGTCTGTTATCATGTCTGAAAACAAACACAAGTAATGGAGTTCATCACTTAAACAGGCACTGATGTTCCATACAGAGCACAAAAAATACAAAAAATTGTTTTTAGACAAAGTTTTCTTAATTTGATAAAAATGGAAGAGTGCAGAAACATAACACCTCTTACACCTTAACAAAATATAAAATAAAAAACAATGGCAGACATTTAGGCAAAGTGAGCAAAGATAAAAATCTTTGTCATTATTTTATCATGCAGAACAGCACGTGAGTTAAATGTTTAACCGGTATTGCTTTAAAGCAGATGGAAATAGTGTAGTTTTGCGATTGCGCATAAGTGCAGTGTTCCGTGAGAGTAACTCTACCGCTGAGCTAACACTGATGTGAATGCATGTGGCGTTGTACATTATATTGAGACGGAGGGAGGTGCCAGAACTGCAGCTGATAGAATGTGCGCTGTAGCACGATACAACGATATTTCTTCAAAAGCAGATTGTGGAGACATTCAAAAATGGTCATATCGCACACCTCTAACTACCAAGTATAATCAATCTCACACACACAAACAAGCACAACGAAATCACTTCACACTATTAAGCAGCTGTGTTATGAACATGCAAAACTGTATCGCACGCGTGCTACAGTGGTAAATTTATTCATCGCACAGACCAGTTTTTTCGTAGCACGTGCGACATATATGTCGCACTGTACAGCCCTGAAGAAGCGGAGATTTTTTGGATGAGCCCAACCTCAGTTCAGCTTGAACGAGCAGATATTTAGCATATCACATCAGCTTTACTCCTGAATTACTTAGTCAGAGAGCTGTAATTGTGTGTGTGTTATAAACTGGAAAGCCATGTTAACCAGTGTGGGCCACAATGGCTTGCGGTGCACTAGCCACTTGTATGTTTTCCAGCGGCGCTACGACCAGGCCTGGTATTTCCAGCACTTTTGTCCAGGCAAAAGCCATTGTGGTTGCCGAGACGGGGCTTTTCAGAATGAACACACACACGCGTGCTGAAGCATGTGCACATGAGCACTCTCATTTGGCCAGACAGAGGTTTTTAGTGCAAACATATATAACGGTTAACTCTGAGACCGCTAGCCAGAGTTCATGTGAGGTTTGTACACAGATGTGGACTTTATTTAGAATGAGCCAAGCAGTTTCAAACTGCACATTCAGAACACAAGCCTCTACAGTAGCACTACTGTGACTTTACTATAAGACAACTTAACTATGTGAGATTTTATAGTCTGATAATAATTCAAAGGTAAGGCCTGAATAGTTGTGTAAAAGCCTACACCAATTTGAAATTGTATTTAACTATAGACTTAATTTTTAAATAAATTGTTTTTATGTTGCAGCTAGAATGTAAATTGTGTCCAATTATGTAAAACATTTAATAAAAAAAACAAAAAAAAACGTTTTAATATAATTAAAAACTGTCACACATATCATTGCATTCTGTACTTGTAAATGATGTTATGTATTTTAAAAATTTCCATAGCATAAAATATGCTTCATGTAAAAATTTTACAGAGACACATTAAACTCGATAATTAAACATACAAATGTCATAAAATGTGTTTTATGTAAAACCTTTAGTGAAATAGCTTCTTAATAGTCTTCTTAAACAAATATGATTATGTACTTAAATGATTGTACATATTTTTTAAAACTTTAGCCAAAATGTAAAAATTTTAAACTAGATTATTAATAACTAATTAAACAATTGCATTATGTGTTTTCAAACAACTTTAACTAAACAAACACTGTCACAAATAATTTTGTTATGTAGGGGATTTAACTAATAACTGATCAAACAAACAATTTTTGAATACTTATGTTAATTACAAACGTTGTGTTTTAAAACACTAACCATTACGTAAAACTACATTTTACAAAAAACTTTAGATAACTAATAACTACAGTAATTAACTTTGCATGTTTTAACAACTAATAACTGATTAATCAAACATTGCTGGATATTTACGTTATGCACTTTCAAATAACTTTGTGTTGTAACACCATCCCTAATGTAAAAAAATACAATTTTACTAAAACATTAAAACTGTAGATAACTAATAAGTACTAAAACATTGTCAAATAACTGCTACAGTATATACTTTCAAAAACTCTACATTTTAACATGTAATAACTGATTAAACAAAACAATTTTGCATAATTACGTTATGAACTTTCAAACAACTTTACATGTTTTAAAACACTAGCCATTAAATGTTTTATAAAATATACAATTTCGTGAGCCTTTTAAACTAGCTTTTTAACAAACAAGCAAAATTGTCATACAAATTCAGTAACTGTGCAGCGAATGTATTTGTAAAACACTAGCCATGACATAAAATGTATTTTACATAAAAATTTAATGAGGTCACAAATGACTTTTGTTACTTTTACTGAACTAATAACTGATTAATCAAACATTGCTGGATATTTACGTTATGTACTTTCAAATAATTTTGTGTTGTAACACCATCCCTAATGTAAAAAATAAAATTTTACTAAAACATTAAAACTGTAGATAACTAATAAGTACTAAAACATTGTCAAATAACTGCTACAGTATATACTTTCAAAAACTCTACATTTTAACATGTAATAACTGATTAAACAAAACAATTTTGCATAATTACGTTATGAACTTTCAAACAACTTTACATGTTTTAAAACACTAGCCATTAAATGTTTTATAAAATATACAATTTCGTGAGCCTTTTAAACTAGCTTTTTAACAAACAAGCAAAATTGTCATACAAATTCAGTAACTGTGCAGCGAATGTATTTGTAAAACACTAGCCATGACATAAAATGTATTTTACATAAAAATTTAATGAGGTCACAAATGACTTTTGTTACTTTTACTGAAAGGAAAGTGGAGAAGTGACAGGACAAAAAACAGGTAGAAGAGAGAAAGTGGACATACACTACTCACTACTACATGCAAACTCAGGTTTCCCACACAAGTGTTCTTCCTACATAGTGTTGAGCATGTGAACGACCTGCCAGGCCACATATCCAACATATACTTCTAAAACACTAGCACTAAAAACACTACTGTATCCTTCATAGTAAATAAAGTTCAACTCACCATAACCACCAAATTTTCAATGGTGGCCCCTAAAGCTTCAAGCGACTCGGGTTCGTCAGTCGGCCTCTTGTAGTGGAAGGCTGTTCCTGCGATGTCAAATTTGCGGGGCCAGTCGATGGTCCAGGCTCCGTTGATGTAATAGTCATCCCCCTCCGATTTCAAAGCTGTGACAAGCGAGAGCTCCAGTTAATAACCCGACACGAGCGAGATGCTGCCAAGCAGAGAGAGTGGCGTCATCGCTGTCATTCATCAACATGATGAGCATCGTCTTACAGAGGAGCTCAGGCTTCCTGATGTCAAGGGCAATTTTCACTCTTGCTCTCAGACGCTGTGCAGCTTGTAAGATCTAGCTTACCAAGTTCAGGTGAAAGTCTGCCTTCCTTACAAATCTGCTCAGTTGTCAAAACAAAGATCTCATCTCAAAGCATAACACACCTCAAAATATTCACTCTTGTCTTGATTCAGATGGGGCCAAATTGTAGAAGAAGAATCCAGATGTTTTTTTACTCACTCCAGCTCAAAAAGACACCATTTATTTTTCTTAAAGGTACTCCAAGTGTTTTTCAAACAAAGAAATGAATGGTACTTTTAATAAATCTTTCAAATGGAAACACTAACATTGAAGATTAGGATGTTTTATTACACATTGGGCAGCTCCAAATAGCCAAATATTATCTCGGTACTAATATTTGGCTAAAGTATTAAAATAGATAGCACACTATCATTTGTGAGTTAAATAAAAAGAAAATTCAATTCAAGTTTATTTGTATAGCGCTTTTCGCTATACAAATCGTTGCAAAGCAACTTTACAGCAAATTAAGTTTCTACAATATTTAGTAGTAGCTTAGTATAAATGACGAGTATGAATTTCTTTTTCCCATAGAACAATAAAGAAGAAATTTGGCAGAATGTTTAAACTGATCTTTTTCATGCATGAAAGTAGTGACTAGCTCTAAAAGGGACAAAAAAGCTATATAAAAATAGTATGATTTGTACATGAGTGACTGAAAAGACACATTTAAGTCAAATTTAATAGCTAAAAAAGATTCACATTTTTAAACATAGTGTGTCAAGATGTGTCATAACAGGGTAAGTTATCGATGATACCAAATGGCAATTGGTTCTTGCAAATCTTTTAACTAAAAGTGACATGGCATGTTTTGATATGAATGCATAAGCATTCACCATACGTGAAAGAGTTCTTCAAAACCTCTTCTTTGACCTGAAATAACTGAAAATAATAGAATTGTATGCCCTCAAACTATCAGTTATATGACACATTGGGCAAAACCAACCAAAGATAAGAAGACAGTTGTTTCAGGTAGAAATGAAAAGAACTGACTGATGTTAAACATCAAATGAACCAGTTCTGCAAGCTTGCTTTCATTATTAGCCAAATATTTGTCAGACATTAGGGATCTCAAGGCCATTTCAAAAGATTCTCACTTTAAACAGGGCCATGTGTTTATATTTGACAAATGTGGCACGCATGTGAACGTCTGAAGGAGACTAAATGTGTTTTACAATTTTCTTTAAAACGTTGCTCGCAAGCCCTTTGGCGCTAACGTTGGCCACCGCTGTGCTAGAACATCAGACAACTTATCTTCCTTTCAAACGGCGAGAATAACCTCTACATCAACATGATAGACAACAAAACCCAACAAGCTGTCATACACACTAGCTATATTTATGCTTGCACTCAAAACAACTTAATTGGACCCGCTTGTTTGATTGTTTTAATTAGTTACATGGCTGAGAACCATGATGGTTTTACTCAGCTTGCGGTTGGGACAAGACAAAAGGCAAAATCAAGACAATGAACAAATATAAGACATGAGAGCGAGGATGGCTGTCAGATTGATCCAGATTTACACCCACAACAAAGCCTAAAACAAACCATTTCACCACTTTTGTCCCCAGTATGGCTTCATGAACAAAGCTTCAAGAAGATAAATACAAACACTCACCGATGTAGTTTTTTGACACGGCCTCTTCCCTGATTTCAATATGAACCGATCCTTTTGGTATCTGGACAACCTCCATATAACCTACAAAATGCACAATTTGGTTTAGAAAATGAAGCAAAAGTTGAATGTCGCTCATATAACAGCACAATTTGTAGTTGTCTGTAAATGTACATACATGTACGTCTTGTTTTAGCAGCATGATTTTAGCATCATGAGTGCCACAAACCATTATATGCCATTATATTTAGGTCATGATGGTCGCCTAATCAACTAGTCAGCCCAAGATATGTATTTAGTTGTTATATTTTTAGTGTCACTTAAATTAGCATGCTGTGCTTCAGTTAGCATTAGCATTAGCATTCTGTGAGAGTAAAGCACCTATACTACAGCATGCATATTCAGTGTCACATCTTACACTGTTTTTTTAAGTATCTAACCACAAGATTTTGAAAACATTTTGTATTTAAGTTGTGTAGTTTCCTAATCATAACTCTGTAATTCCAAAAAGAAAATCAAAAGGTTTGTCTGAAACTTTTTCATGCATTTTTACTTCCGAGAACATCTTCATTTGTAACCCGTCGTTAAACCTTAATGACTAATTCTTATTAGTTGCATCTATTGTTTCTTGTAAACTATTTGAACAGAATCCCAGCGTGTTCAAAGAAAATCAAACTAACTTAGCAACAGCAAATTCATTAGAAGGGAAGAATCTACACCGTACCCTTAACTCCCCTTTAAAGTTTCAGATGATTTACCAGCTATACCTTAAAAGGAGAAAACAGTCCCTTACTACAGGGAATACTTTTGGATGCGGCCCGACAACATGTGCAATATTACAAGTTTTATTGATTCTCTCACTGGATGATGCAATTAATACTTGTATATTGTGTTACCACTTCTATTTTGACAACTTGTTTCTTGACCCAAAAACAAAAGCTTTATCACTGGTTGTCTGATGAAAAAAAAAACACTGCATTTCCATGAAAAATGTCGAGCTTGGCCAAAGCACCCCGTTGGCCCCCTGACAGGAGCCACTGCCAAAAAGACAATGCGTTTCTCCGCTTGCTTGTGCTGTGCTTTCTTCAAGTGGGATTTCTCTAGTGGAAAGCGATTAAAAACTTGTCGCGTTTGGCAAGCGTGTGGCGCGCTCTCTGGAATGGGATTCTGAAGGGGGAGATGGGTCGTGGTGCTCCTCTTCTTTCATACAGCTCAGCAGTGGCTTGTGGATTTCGCCACATTGTATTTTATGATCATTTTACAGCTTCAGAAACGTCAGATATTCAACGCAATATGGACACTGACTGTAGGGACAGTTGCCCTAGATATACGCTCGAAGCCCAGTGGTGACAGGACATCTTAAGACCCTGATATACTTAAGATAGAGTTATTTTTCGTTCTTCACTTAGGGGTAAAAAGAAGTTTGCCATGCACATAAGCAGCGGTTTAAAGTTAATGAACACCTTGATGCTAAAATATGTAAATATGTGCTGCCAGTGTTGAGGAAAATGGTCACACTTTATTTTAAGGTCCAATTCTTGCTATTAACAAACAATTACCTACAACTTTTGCCTCAATAAACTCCTAATTTTCTGCTTATTAATAGTTAATAAGGTAGTTGTTAAATTTAGGTATTGGGTAGGATTAGGGATGCAGAATATGTGCTTTATAAGTACTAATAAACAGCCAATATGTTAATAATAGGCATGCTTAATAAGCAACTAGTAAATAGTGAGAATTGGTCCCTATACTAAAGTGTTACCGGGAAAGCTACTTTTAAAAGTAATGCATTACAATAACAACTGTAAAGGCCATTTCACACCAAAAGTGAAATTAATTAGGAAGTGGCTCTACAGCTAACTCCCAATTTCTCTCTACAAAAAATGGTAAACAAAGTAACTCGCACTACTCATTTGAAAAAGTAACTCAGATATCTAGTTGTAAATTTAAAAGTAATGTTACTTCACAAAAAAACACAGCGGTGAGAAACAGCAGTTAAGAAAGCATCTGATCATTGTGATGTGGATGTTTGCACATCACATTGATTTATACAGCACATTATACAATACATTGCTTTTAAGCAGCATGACCATATGTGTTTTTTTCCCCCAGACATGCCCTGGCCAGGATTTGTAAATTACGTGAAATGTCCAGGGTTTTCAAATGTTTTCATGCTTGCTGATAGCGTGCAGGCAATTTATAGAATCGACCAATCGTGGCATGCAAGAATGTGGGATCTACAGAGAATTGTCATACCAATGCAAATACATGTACATATAACGTCTGAGGACAGTAGATGAACAATGTCAAAAACAAAGCTAAAAACCTGGCATTCCACGTCAAGGTGGACCACACCTACCTATTGCGTAATTGCTACTGATCAATGGTAGTTCAAACGTGTTTACCAGCCGGAGCGAACTTTTCTGGAAAGTTTGCTTTGGCAAGCTGTTTCCAAGTACAGAAACAAACTCCAAACGAACTTCGGTTTGGCCTGATTTTGCATCACACCAATTCATTCTTCGATTTCGCCTGAGGTATATGGGGGCCTTTAGTAACACTTCAGTTCATGGTTCAATGCGGCCTGTGATCAAACCTTCCAGTATTTGTTTTACACTACAGTACTTACCTAGTAGGCTGTCTAACACATTCTCATAACAATGCATAATAACTCATACGAAATGGTAAGATATTGAATATGTGTTATTGACGATGAGTGTACAATCAGTGGCCTCCTGACCTCCTCTGGGCAGCGAATCATTGAACAGTCCTTCGGTGACCTCACACGTACTGCCGTCCCCTCCACACACACGGCATCTGTCCTCCTTGGCATCCGAGCCCAGGATGTTATCACAGCCAACATGCTGGAAAGACACACAGGCAGGGTGTTTCAGTGCAGGGGAACACGGTCGAGGCGTTCTCAGACCTCAACTATCTGATTCAAAGAAAAACATGTCATTCACACAGCTGTATCGAGTCAGAATATGACATGAAAAGATGAATGGTTCTGGTTTTGCTTCAGGACCGTGATTTTACACTGGACATCAACACAGTAACAAAATTATTTACAGCATTGTACAAAATTAAATAAAAATGTCCTTTAAATCAAACATTGAAATTTGTTGATATGACAGGCTGATTATGAAAATTGACATTTTTGTAAGTGCATAAACAATAGCAGAAGCATGAGTAACAGTATTTATATTTCTAGTGTTTTGTTTCTAAATGTCAATTGAATTCTGTTGGTTTTATGCTCTCGGCAGCCAATAATTCACCACACAAAACACATTGTGGTCGGCACAAACCATGTTTATTCATGTTGTGTCAAATTTTCTTTCATCTTGCATGGTTTTGTTCATGAGGGCATGTCACGCAACCTGTCCATGTTGGCATTTGTCTAACTTGATTGGCTTCTACCAAATTACAGGTGAATTTGTGCCAAAATACCATTGAGCCTGACTGGACACACAACCTTTGATGTACAAAAATGGCAATATGCACTAAATTAGTACCATACTGGTTTACCGCCGATATTGTAGATATCTATATGTATTTTAATTATTAGAATCAGTTGATATGGGATAATTACTTGTGCATGCTTGATTTTGGTTACCTTCATCCAATGCTTATTTAAAAAACACTGCTAATTTAAGACACAAGTTAAATGTCATCTTTAGCAAATATCAATATGATAATTTTGAAGATTTTTCACATTGCACATTATAATATTGTGATGCCTTAATTCATTAATTCAAATGATTGATTTGTGTTCATGCAGAAATTCTTCAATGTGTTTTTGTAATTATTTGTGAAATTTAGAAACTGTTTCAAAATACAATAAATCCTACACCATTTTTTTCCCATTTATACACGATTATATGCCCTAGTAAAAAATAATATATTTAAAATACATTTATTTCATACTAAGTATAGTCCTATTATATTATATAGTTCTATAGTAATCTATTATCATATTTACTGACATATCGCTCAAGACTTACTGATATAAAAATTATAATTAAACTTTATTTGGAGTATCAATGAGCACAATGCGTATTTCTTATTAAGCCTAAAATGTGTTTTAATGTCACTATGAATAATGATTGTATGATCTTTGAATAATATCGGTCTTTACATGCAAGATATTTAATGTGAACCTGAAGTATACTTGCAATATTTCCACTTTAGCACAATCAAATATACTTCATTGTATCTTTAGTTGGACTTCAGCGCTACTTCCGCACAATTAAAGTGCATTAAGCACAAAATTAATTTTAGTATAGTTTAATATACTAAAAGTACAATTGCAGGGTATTTTTAATAAGTACATAAATATGTAAATATATTTGTAGTATACTTAGCATGAAATAAATATTTAGTTACTATATTTATTTTTCACTAGGGTGGTTAGTTGCATTTTATTAACTGAATTTAACATTTGTTTTCTCCCTGCTCAGAAAACACAGGTGACCCATTTTTGGGTTTTGACTGACCAGCTGTGAATCACTGGACTAGACATAAGATTGATTACTGTTTTGGATATTCCCTCTGCAACCCCTGTGCATGCCTTTACTTGCATTATTATTAAACCGTAAGAATCTCATCCAAAATGCAATGAGAGGTTGTTGGGTGCAGCACGTAACATCGATTCCTTTGAGTTTAAAAGAACATTGTGTGCATTTCATCGCTCCAGATCAGATCAAAGAGGAAACCTTGGGGATCAATTAAAATAGTATCTTAAACCACATAAATCAAGGACGCGGACAACAATGTGTGAGACTAACAAATACCGAACTGTAGACAAAATCTCTTCTACACAGTGCAATCCATTTTAACCCTAAAATAAACAAAGCGTAGCACTATTACGTCAATTTGGTTTGTTATACAAATGATATTGTAAGTGAATTAAATATCACTCTCCAGCGGCTCACCCACCTTTCTAACTAACTTGGGAAAACACAATTCGGTTCCAAACTGTACTGTCCTGATAAGAGGTTCAGCCCCTTCAACACCAGCCTTTATTTAGGCTTCATTGTTCTGTGTTAGTGATTGGCTACGTTCTGTAGACTGTCCATCTGAGACCCTTAGTGTCTGATAAACAAAGATAATGCAACATTTTAGACCACAAGGGCCACATAAAAACAGAAATCTTTGAAATATAGTAGAAACAAGCCACTCTGCACATTTTTACATTACATTTATGGATTTGGCAGATGCTTTTATAGCAAATCACTTATCAGTTATTCACTGGGAATCAAACTTATGACATTGGTAGTGCTTATGCTACCAAGAATGCTTATTTTTAGTTTCTAACAACCAAGTAAATAAAGTAAATAAAATGTCATGTGACAACAATGTAGAGCACTACTTCTTGAAATATTTCTCTTGGCAACATGTTCTATTTCACATACTATCTTTTAAGGCACTGTAGGTGAATACGGTGAAAAAGAGGTATCACCATACTTTTCCCAGTTAATCACAATACATGAAACTGTTTTGTATTGCGAAGTTTAAATATTCAAATCAGACATGAACTAATATCTAAAGATGCACTAATTTACATACATTTCCAGAATGGAAATCTGAATATTGGAAAAAGCCAAAATTCTTCTTTCAGTCTGTTGTCATATTAGAGTTACATTTTTTAGAAGGAGATTTTGGATTTCTCTTTTTATCACAAAGAAAATACTGTGAACAGCCAGAGAAAAGTACATTTTCACCATATTTTCAGGCATAAAATGTTATAAATCAGGCAAAAGAAAAATGAACAACCCCCCTGAAAAACCCTTCAGAATATAGATAAGTTTGTTGCTTGTAAGTGCTGCTGAAGTGGAAATTTCTGGCTCAGTGCACGAGAAAATACTCACTTTAAGAAAATTACACAAATAATTTTATGATGCAATTACATTGTAATGCAATAAATGCTTAAAAGCATATTTTAGATGATTTCATTCCACGTTATGGAAGCAAAAAACCCAAAATCTCAAAATAGACCTGTGCATGACAAAACAATGTTTTTGTCTGTAGTGTCCTGCCTTAAATAGTAGCATTCAGTGTATAATGCACAGTGTGCAGTACGCTAGAACTCCATTCTGAACTCAACCATAGTGTGTTCAAAAGGTGGCCTGATAATATAATACTTGTAGCAGATCTTGCATGCTTTACCCACCATTGCATGCTTTTGTCTCCATTCTCCTTTCATTTTTTCCAGTTGTTAACAAAATGCTGAGGTACAAAAGGCCATACCTACCACAAATTTCATTTTCAGGTTTTTAGGTAATGATATGCAAGAACCTTAGCTAGATGCTAATGCTAACATGCCAAACAGTATATAACAAGGGTGTTTAGGACATCAAGATGTAATTTACGTCTCAAAACTACTGTACCTCACTCGTGTCTTGAGTGAGTTGAATGCATTTGGGAATTGGGATGTGGCTTTTAAGCACTATAAAATGGCACGGTACTTACTACAGTACATTTTCAGATTTTCTTCAGGCACTGCAAGTGAGATTTGAGCTGTAGACTCACCTTGCACTCTCCATTGATGCATATGTCCAGCGAGTCGGCCTGGCAGCGCGTGCCGTCGATGACAGCGGGCAAGCGTTCGGTGTAGAAGTTGTAGCCCTCAGCCAGACAGTTCAACGCACACGGTTTCACTCCACCTGAGAAACACAGCGAGTTTATCGTCAATCAACTGATGTCACTCTCTCGAACTCCACTGGGACCTTTTATCAGGTTATTGATGGGTCCCAAGGTCCTCAAGAACTCCTTCGCGGCCCAGCAGTGTCAAAGAGGTGGCCACGATTTATGTCATGCGATAAACCGAAAATCTGTATGGAATAACAGTCAATCTCTCGCCTCACCAGTGCATTGATAAGTGATTCGCAGACTGCTTTTCTTGCAACTGTCTCGAGCCAGGGCTCTCAGACGGGGCCCACGGTTTTCTTTTATGCCTTTGTTGATATTAACAATCCAGTCAAAGCACTCGAGCACAAGAGAGGCATTACTCATAGTGGAATCTGAACGTTTTGCCTGACATCATTACTGCAAAGACACGGGGAGAGATTAACAGAGCTGCCAACAAAAATCATGGAGACATCCACAAAGGTTATCGCAGACTTTACAAGCGAAGTTCACCTCCAAAATGAGTTTTAAGAGCCAAACAATTGGTAATGATCATGCTTATTACAGGCAGCGAGATAAGGAGATGATTGAGTCGACTGTGAACTTCCTGTCAGAATGTTTTGGAAATGCCTCTCGATCTCTTGCAGTTTTTCTTTGTTTATTGGGTTCGGCCATTTTGTTGTAAACAAGAAATGCACCCTTCGCTCTGGCTTTCCGGCTGCACTTTTTTGTTAAAGCAGTCTGAAAACGCATCAGACAAAGGAGGTAGTGGTAGTGTTTGATTTTCACTGTTATTAATTTAATTAAATTATATGCTAGTAAAGTAAATGAATCACAATAATTTTCTGAGAAAAGCTCCCAAGTGAAGATCATCTGTAAACATTACATAGAGCAGACGAAAGCATTGAATGAACAATTTAAAAAAGTCATCCATTTATTACTTGTTTTATTTTGCTATGAACTTACTATTACTATTTTTATGAAATGAAATAATAAATATAAAAAGCAAATACTAAACATTCAAATAATAATAACAATAAATAGCAAATAATAAATATAAAAAGGTAAATATTCATTAATCATGCTGTATATATATATATATATATATATATAATATTTATTATTATTATTATACATATTATATATACACCTATATATACATATAACAAATATAGAAATTTATATAAACATTCAAATAATCAATCATGATGTTATATCATATATATGATATTAAAACAATATTACACTCTTGTTTGTGTTAAATTGCTAATATAAATTATTTTTTATATTTACTATTTTTAAGTTATTTTTCTAGTAATAAGTTGCAATAAATGATCGTTCAAACAAACCAGTATGACTTTCTTTCTTTCTTTCTTTTGACTTTCTTTCTTTCTTCTTTTCTGTTTTGGTCCATACAGTGAAGTCAGTGGGGTCCAAAACAACATTAGACTCCATTGACTTCAATCAATCAATCAATCAATCAATCAATTCATACATACATAAAGTAAGTAAGTAAGTACCAAATAACACCCCCAAATAACTACGTTTATGTGCCACAGAAGTCATACAGGTTTGGAATGACATGACAGTGAGTAAATGATGACAGAATTGTCATTTTTGGGTGGACTATTGCATTACATTGACAGGCCTAATTGTCACACTTTAATTTGCAGATCTGATCTGTCTGAGAAACCTGTGTACATACACAGTCATACACACACACACACACACACACACTCACACAGACTAGCGATACATGGTGTTCTAGCTGGAATCTGAAGAATTTTCAGCCCATCAAAGAGACTTTCACAGTGTTGGTGTTAGCAGGGTACACAAAGCAAGCCAGTATGTATACTGTCACTGAAGCCCAGACTTTGGGAAGGCTGTGGGAGAGAGCGGCTCCCTCTGAAGCCCATCGCTCTGGGTGCTGGGCAGGGAACCTACCTCCAGTGTACGGCTTCCAGTTGTAGTACTTCCCACGGAAAGGCATGTTGTCAAAATCGGCGCACTGCTTCTTCCTAAAGTCACGTGATCCTGCTGGACAAGCCTGCGATCAAACAATAAAATAATTGGCGGCGAATGAACCGTTGAGGCCTTGCAAAAACATTCAGATGGTACCCTCATTAATATTATATTAACTTATAGAGTATTTATAATACTTTCATTTTATCCTACACTGAACAATATTAAATAGTGTCACAGATTCCCAGCCGTCAGATGAAACATTTTGGGTTCCACAAAGAATCTTTCAGTGAACAGTTCTTAAAAAAAACTTTTTTCTACTCTAAAGAACCTTTTGTAGAATTTAAAGATTCCACGGATGTTAAAGGGTTAGTTCACCCAAAAATGAAAATTCTGTCATTAATTACTCACCCTCATGTCGTTCCAAACCCGTAAGACATTCGTTCATCTTTGGAACACAGATTAAGATATTTTTTATGAATTCTGAGAGCTCTCTGACCCTCCCATAGGCAGCAAGGTTACTACCACGATCAAGGTTCAGAAACATAGCAAGGAGATCGGTAAAATAATCCATGTGACATCAGGGGTTCAACCGTAAT